TCTCTTTCTCTTTCTCTCTTTTTCTCTCTCTCATATTTGCACTCATATTTGCAATTCAGTGACATTGATTATAGCATTCTGGTTCTTAAAACCTACACTATTTTCATGGAATAAATTCTAGAAATTGAAATTCACCCAGATTTTGGCTTATATTTGAAATTAAGCAATATTTGCTATAATCAATTCATTCCTTTTTTTTTTTTCTTTTTGCTGGACATGCCCATAGGTGTTTAGGTTATTTTCTCAAGGGTTCCCTAGTAGACTTACCTTATCGAATTATAAAGATAATTTAATATTATTATATAATAACATTATAAATGAATAAACCAAGACAATGTTTTCCCTATCATCTCTTCTTTATGTACTTTTGATTCTCTGAATAATGAGAGGATTGCAGTGTTGTTACCATTAACTGAATTCGATAAATTCTTTTGTCTAAACAACTACAAAGTTGAGAATATAATTCACAAATAATCAGAATTTATTTTAATAATGTTGAATCTTGAATGTTAAATCCTTAAATACCTTATGAGTCATCAAAGGAAAATAAATTGTGCATAGATTTCATTTGAGTAATTTATTTATTTATCAAAATCCTACCTAGGCCTTTTTTCCTAGTTATCAAACTCAGCTGCCAATGAGTCAATTCTAACTCATAGCAACCTCATTAGGTTTCTGAGGCGGTAAATCTTTACAGAAGTAGATTGTCCCATCTAATTTCTGTGAAGTGACTGGTGGGTTTGAACCGCCAGCCTTTTGGTTAGCAGCCAAATGCCTTAGGCACTACACCACCAGAGCTCCTTATTTATTCAAAGTAAAAGGTACATACTTTCTTGAGATTTCTGTTTTTTAAGGGTGCAGATCAGCACTAATAGAAGTTTCTGTTGTGATAGTTGTCAACTATACTATTTATAAATCTGTTTCAGTAAGCAATAATAGAGTTAGCCCTGTAATCACAAATCATGGTGGTAGATAAAGGAAAAAGCAATGCAAAAGAGAAAGCATCCTCAAGTCAGAGCTAAGATGACAAGATTAAGAAACAAAGGCTGAAGGGAAATGAAATTATTTATGTACACTCCTTCCAAGGTTACCTCTAGAGAAATTGTGACCCATAACGTACTAGTTCTTGCCTCTCTGGTCCTTTGTAGAATAGTACTCATAATAATTAATCACTGATTACTGCAGATGGGAGCTCTGGTGGTGTAGTGCCTAAGGCATTTGACTGCTAACCAGAAGGCTGGCAGTTCAAACCCACCAGCCACTCCTCAGAAGAAAGGTTGGGCAATATACTTCCATAGTGATACTGCCTCGGAAACCCAAGGAGGGGTCACTATGAGTCAGATCTGACTCAACTGAGCAGTGGGTTTTGAGTAATTACTGCAGATATTATTCATCATATGTTGTGTAATTTGTAAAGTGTGAAATGAGCTCCTACAGCTAAATATTTGGGTATCAAGGTGGTCAGTTTTAAAGAACTGTACTTTAAAAACTGAGAGCATAAATTTTCAATATGTATTTTATAAAAAAGAAAACAACATTAATAGAACTGGCATTTACCCATGGATACACTTTTATAGTACAGCTTTGAAAATTATATAAATGGCAGTTTTTTACAGGCTATACTTGGATCAAGAAAGTAGTTGAACTTTATTAAGAATATTGTTTGATACCCATATAATATCCATGTATCAAGTTGTGTTTGTTTTAGCAGATTTGGATTTCTGGTCTTAATTTGTTTGTTTGTTTGTTTGTTTTGTTTTCATCTCTTTTTTTTTAAGAATTTGTAAAAATTGTGAATCTACAAGGAAAACTAAAATCAAGCAAGAAACTGGCCTCTGAGCTAAGTTTTGATTTTCGCATCGAATCTGTAGGTAAGTCTCCTCTTTTTATTAATGTGCTTGGAATACCTTTTTATTGCTCATTCTGTGTTTAGATTTGTCTAGATCAGCACTGTCTAATAGAAGTTTCTGTTGTGATAGAAATGTTCTGTATTTGCGCTCTGCAGCATAGTAGCCATTAACTGCATGTGGCTATTGAGCACTTGAAATGTGACTAGTGCTACATTTAAATTTTAATTAATTTTCATTTAAATAGACACATGTAGCTAGTGGCTACTGTACTGAATAGCATAGGTCTAGACCATATTAAATCTTTTATTGTAGTGTCCGGAATATTTAAAATTTGAAATCATTTTTTAAATGTCTGTTCATTATTCCTTTTGTTGCATCAACTGAATTGTACTCCTAATTCTTTCTAAATCATGAAGGTATTTGTTTGATATGATTAACAATGTTAGATATGTTTTAAGTATTTGGTGTGTAATTCTTTGGTTGAGATGTTGTTGCTTGTTGCTTTTAAGTCTATTTATATATAAATAACTACTTTCCCACAGGAATGTAGACTGCTGTGCCATTTTAGTTTGTTTCCTTGTCAATGTTACTGTGTACTATTCATTGGTTTGTGATAAAAGATCATTACATATTATCATTGTTTGCATCTTATTGATTATATGTCAGTAAGTACTTTTCCCAGGGGTAATAGCACTTGTAAAAATATATATATCTTGGCTGGAAACATTTTGAACAATTTATGGTTATGATTCTGCCATGCGTCACAGAATGAAGTTAAAACAAAGTTAGCAATTTTTATTTGCACCATGGAAACTGTATGGGTTTTATTATTAAATTTATATGCTTTTTTTAAAATGTTTCTCACTAGGTAGAAGTTTGGGTTTTTACAATGGTTTAATATTAGTTTCTCAACTGGAGTTTGACCTTATCCAAAGTATGTTCATGCCTCTGTGTAATATCTTAAAAAATTGATTTGGGATGTTTAATTTATTGAAGCTGAAAACCTAAACTTTTGTAGATGCCAACTCAAAAGGTATTCTGGAATTGGTTTCTTCTTTTTCTTTTACTCTTTCTTCTGGATATTGTGTGCCAGTTTTTAAGAGTTACTTTTTTGTTCAAGATTTAATAATTTTTAAGAAGAGCTACTAACATTTTTCACATGCTGACAAAAGAGTAACAGCCCCTTAGGCCTTTTTCATTTTAACTGCTGAAAACACCTCAACTTTTTCATGTGTGTCCAGTTATTTCGGCAATTTTAATAGCTACACAAAAATCTGTGCCTCTCATGCTACCATCCTTCCTTACCAGTGAACCTTGAAATAATTACAAGGATCTACCTGGTAGAAAAATCCATTTAAATCAGATCTTCTTAGAAAAAAAATAAAGACTTCCGGTAAGATGGAGGAATAGGCAGACAAGCAACACAGACCCTCTTCAACAAAGAAAAGAAAAACCAATTGGCAGAGATATAGAAGATAATCATGGAGCCCTGAACTTTGAAAGGAAATATACAGAAGTGCATTAGGCACCAACTAGTGGAAAATCCTGAACAAAAATAGTGAGTACTCTGACGGGACCAACAGCCTGAATATTTCCAAGTGGTGTTGGGACCTGAGAAATGACCTAAAGATCAGCCCTGCTCACCAAGGGCTATAGGGATGACTGTACTCATGGCCTATGACTAGGAAGGCAAATAGCAAGAAGGGAGAG